CGAGTCCCGCTGCGACATCGCGCGCCCACCTAGCGGACTTTCGCGCTGCGCGGTTCGGGCGTGTCACGTCCGTCCCATCGAGTGCGCGGTGTCCTCCTCCGGGCCTCCCGATGGCCTGCGCGCAGTTTTGTTATGAGGTAAGTCCTTTGTTACAAGGTGAGTACTTACCTGCCAGCCGTCAACCTCCCTTACCGTCTCTACAACCCCCTCTTCTCTCTCGTCCGCACTCACACCCTCGCGCTGAACATCCGCGCCTTCCGGAGCGCCTGCTATCGACAGCGCGCGCTCCGGAAGCTTGTTGTTACTGGAGTCCTGCATGTTAACTAAGGTACGTACTTAAGCCTAGTATGTTTTGCAGGTAGACGTCAGCAGAGAGCAGCGGTAAGGAAATCTCGCTACTTCCGGATACGCAGACTGACCTTGATTTAGGGTTCTTCGCTCAATTGAGCGACGGACATTCAATGTCCAACAACCGCATCGAGCGCACCGCGCGCGAACCCTCGCACACCATCCAACGCAACTAAAGGTATGTCTCAAATCTTTCATTCTATAGCTCTACATTTACTGGTTTTACATGTACATTCAGGTCCTCGCCACTCAAACTAGCATCCCCCAGCCGGCCGCCCTCCCGCTCGACACTCCTCTCGCCCTCGCGCCCCATTCTCCCGCGCCCGCGCACAGGGCGCGCTCTCCGCGTTCCAGGCGCTCCTGCCCGACCTCCGCGCGGGCGCGTTCCTGCGCCAGCTGCTGTTCAGAACGACCGGTGCCCGATAAAGAATAAGCGCGTGAATGTCATTTCGGACCAGTGCTGTAGTGACGACGATCAATGGTGTACGAACAACAGTACGTGTACCTCCTCTTACTCTCCTCTAACGCTCCTTCACATCCAATACAGACCGATATACCCTTTGTGACCACGCTCAGCACGCCCTCTGCCAGCATGTCCCCCTCCAGCAACCGTGCGATCATTGCCGGTAGCGTCGTTGGTGTCGCTGCATTCGTCGTCCTCCCGCTCGCTATGGCCGTTTGCTATCGCAGACACCAACAGAAGAAGCCCATATTCTTCCGCCGTTCCCGTCCCCCGCCACGCAATATACTTCTCGCCAGTGAGGACATGGACGATTACGACCTCGGCCCGCCCATGTCCTCCTACCGCGATACCCCCGGGACTGGCTCCGCGCCATCCCTCACTTCGCATGCGACGTCCTACAACGCCGGCTCTCTCCAAGGCGTACCTTTTGTTCCTCCCGCTCCCTTCGCCGACCCGGGCCGTGTTTCGTACTCCCCACACCTCATGGGTATGCGTACCTCTGAGTCTGGCTCGATTTTCCAGGAGGCCGTCTGGCCTCCTCCGCGTTCAGCGCTTGTAGACCCGCTTCTGGTGTCCTCGGAAGACCTCTCGCACATCGTTGACGACGTTATGGGTCCCGCCAACCCATCGGGCAGCGACAGCAGTCCAGGCTCCGGTGCCGGCGCCGTGCGCTTTCCCGGGTCAGTCGCTACTGCCGGACAGGCGACGCACGCGCGCGCACCCTCGGAGGACCCGCTCATGGGCGGTGCGCTCGAGTCGCCCTCGCACTCGCCACGAGCACCCACGTGGCGCAGTCCGCTCTCCGTGACAAACATGGGCTCCGAGACCGCGTCCGTACGCACGGCAGCCAGCCCACCGCCCGGCGCGCGGCGCCGGTTCTCGCAGGGGCAGTCTCATCCACGCCACGACGACGAGGGAGGCACGTACGCCATGGATGAGGCACTCTAGGCTGGCCTGCCTGCTTCGAAAACACTCGCCTTCTGTTTCCGTTGCACAGCATAATTCGTTTAGGATCGCCCCCGGTGGCCCCGCTGACCTTATACTGCATGATTCTGGATCGCAATTGTGTATATTAAGCATTTCTGCTTGGACTTTCCGTACGGACTCGGACCCATATGCTTACTGGACTCGTCCCCATGCTTGCATCTTTCGGACACTTAGGCACTTGTCCCCACAATCATTAATGGCCACCCGCGCAAGCATGGATATTTCCCGTACCAAACTGAGACTACCTACTATGCAGATCGTCCATGTAAGTGTAATGATGCTGGCACCCGCACCCGCAGCAGCGCCGTATCCACCACCAGACGACGACCCTGTCATCGCGAGCGACGGCCCTGGAGAGGGTTGCCGGAAGTCCGGCGCATACCCCGCGCCCGGCTGGGCATATCCGCCGCTGTAGGCCGAGTAGTCGGGGTAGTGCTCCGAGGACGAGGGCGCGTACTGCGATGCGCTCTGACTGTAATGTGACGGCGCAGAGACTGTCGGGGGGCTCATTAAGCGGTGTGTTGCAGCGGCACTTACGCCAGCGCCTGCGATGCCACCCGTGAGGAATGCAGGGACGTTGCCGTGCTGGCGCATCTCATCCGAGCCCGTGGCGGAGCTCGAGGGACCTTGTGAGCCGGGTCCAATAGCGCCCGAGCCAGCAGGATTATACGTGTACGGCTCGACATTGTCGGCACCTGCGAGGTCTATGTGGGCAAGCGTACCGCCACCGCCGACACGATCAGGGTCGAAGTAGCCGTCGAAGTCATCGCGCCTCCTGCGACGGAAAAGCAGGAAGACGAGAGCAGCGAGCAAGAGGGCACCGCCGACACCGCCAACGACACCTCCCACAATCGCGCTGGTGTGTGACTTGGAGGAGGATGCGTCACTGTTGGCCGTTGGTAGAATAGTCTGGGTGGAGATCTCAGTCGAAATGACGGTGGAGGTGAAGGCAGAGCCGGCAGCATTAGTCGTTCTGTCAGGAAAGGGTTATCAGCACCAGAATGCTACTGTGAAGGGACTGTTGAATGGAATACTGCGTCATGTATGTTGGTAGAATGTGAAACTGCTTCTGCATATAGACATCGCTGTAGTACCGACAATATGCATTCTTCTGGCATAAATCCAATTCGAAGACACGTGCAGTCGCAGACAGATGGCGCCATGGACAGACGAACCTAGAGCCATCATGCGACTTTGCCCACATTCACAGGAGCATATAGACACCGACCAAGGCATCTGCAGCAACGCAAGATGATGTAAACATACAGAAAAACAGAACACTCACACAAAGGTACTTGTATGCGTGGATGTTGAGAGTGAGAAAGAGGTGGAGGTAAAAGACGATGTCGACGGGGAGCTGCTGGTGCCGGAGGACCCAGAGCCGGTGACACCCCCAGATGAGGACGGGGCCGACGATGTCGAGGAGACGGAGCTGGAACCGGTTGAAAACGGCGTGCTCGACGGCGTTGTGCTCGACGATGAACTTGACGGCGTAGTGCTTGACGAGGAAGTACTAGGTGAGGTCGACGAGGATGTGGAGGTCGAGGAGGACGAAGACGAAGACGTTGAAGACGACGTTGACGAAGCAGACGGCGACGAAGAAGAACCTATGGACGTGGATGAATGCGGATCAGAGCTTGTCATCGCATTCGCACATGGTCCATCCTCGGGGCATCCGCACCTGCGAGGAGCTCCTAAAGATACGGTACATGCGCTCCTCGTACGCAAGGCGGCTGAGAAGGGGCTTGTGGAGGCCGTACGTCAGGGCCTTTTCTGCTTCAACGCCGCCGCGATCCTTGGATTGAAAGCTCGAGGTACCGGCCGTGATTGTATGTACCGGCGTCTTGACGCTGTCGCGAAGCGGCGTGAGTGCCATGGTGTGCTCTGCAAGCCTGTGCTTTGCCATTGAATACATCGAGAGCTGGTATACTCAGTGAATAAGTAGCTTAGACGTCGAATACCGTGCTGCTTACCTATCCTGTATGTCGCGCACGCTCCTTTCCTACACGGCGTTCCCTGTGCGCAAACAGTCCCTCTCCCTCGTCCAATCTTTCACCAACTACGGCGTTGTCCTCTCATTCCTGTCCCCCCTCTCCGTACGCCGTTCCCGCGCCCTCCGGTCTCGTGCCTAACCTCGAGATGTTTGAGGGGTTGCGCGCGGGTCCTTCCTGTCGACAGAGATGAGTGGTGAAGAGACAAGATGCTCACCGTTTATCTGTACTATCAGCTGATGGAGCCAGTCGCAGCCCGAGTCTGTAGCATACAACGAAG